ATCGCCATCTCCCACAGCAACTTCCGCTGACCTCGCCCCACAGATAAAACCCTCTAAAGAACAGAACCACCACATCTGCCCCCCTCAAAATACCGGGAGAATGTGGGGCGCAGGGGTGAGTTTGCCTCCACCCCTGTTTATTAGGAGAATGGTACATCAGAACACGGGAGCACAGCGTAGGTGCCAGGGGACTGCAGAGACCTCTCTCCAGTGTTCATCCCGGCCATCAAGGACCCAGTGCCCCCAGTCCCTGCTCGAGAGCAGAGCCCGGCTGGAGACCAGGGATCCAGAGATCTTCACGGGGGGACAGCAACCAAGGCATCACTTCTCCTGCCCCAAAAGGGAACCTTTTGCATGCACAGTGAGGCAGCCAGTGCCCCTGGAACCTGAGCAGGGCTTTCTGTACCAAACTTGTTAAAGCTGCCTAAATATTAGGTTAAAAAGGAAAGGCAGGAAGGGCAGGAAGACAGAAAGACAGACAGACAAAAGGAAAGAAGGAAAGAAAGAAAAAGAAGGAAAGAAGGAAAGAAGGAAAAGAAGGAAAGAAGGAAGGAAAGAAGGAAAGAAGGAAAGAAGGAAAAGAAGGAAAGAAGGAAAGAAGGAAGGAAAGAAGGAAGGAAAGAAGGAAGGAAAGAAGGAAAGAAGGAAAGAAAGAAGGAAAGAAGGAAAGAAAGAAGGAAAGAAGGAAAGAAGGAAAGAAGGAAGGAAAGAAGGAAAGAAGGAAAGAAAGAAGGAAAGAAGGAAAGAAAGAAGGAAAGAAGGAAAGAAGGAAAGAAGGAAGGAAAGAAGGAAGGAAAGAAGGAAGGAAAGAAGGAAGGAAAGAAGGAAGGACAGAAGGACAGAAGGACGGAAAGAAGGAAGGACAGAAGGAAGGACAGAAGGAAGGACAGAAGGAAAGAAAGAAGGAAAGAAGGAAAGAAGGAAAGAAGGAAAGAAGGAAAGAAGGAAAGAAGGAAAGAAGGAAAGAAGGAAAGAAGGAAAGAAGGAAAGAAGGAAAGAAGGAAAGAAGGAAAGAAGGAAAGAAGGAAAGAAGGAAAGAAGGAAAGAAGGAAAGAAGGAAAGAAGGAAAGAAGGAAAGAAGGAAAGAAGGAAAGAAAGAAAGAAAGAAAGAAAGAAAGAAAGAAAGAAAGAAAGAAAGAAAGAAAGAAAGAAAGAAAGAAAGAAAGAAAGAAAGAAAGAAAGAAAGAAAGAAAGAAAGAAAGAAAGAAAGAAAGAAAGAAAGAAAGAAAGAAAGAAGAGAAAGAAAGAGAAAGACATACAAGAAAGCCATAAATTCTGCTCCAAGTCTGAAATGGAAGGTAGTGTGCATACATACGAACCTTGTCATGTGATGTGATTTTTCACATCTATTTAAGAAAAAAGATTTGATCTGTGTATTTGAGTCTTTGTCGCTTTTGCATTTAAAGGTTATGGGGGTTTGCCATTAACTTCAGCATCTTTTTCTGATAAATCATGGGCTTCAGAAGCTGTTGAGGAATTTCTGTGATTTAGGCTAAAATATATTATAAGCATAAATTAAGTTCTTGCTAAGTATGCATGGTCTTCTGCGAACACGTGCCACTGGCCTTTCCTTGAAGGCATGCGTGGTACCAGCTCCCTCCTTTCTCCAGGGGAACTCGGAGGTCTCCCCCCTCCCTGCTCCGCCCGGTGCTGTTCTAAGCCTCTCAGAAGGAGGAAGGGCATGTGGAATTGCTGGGGTCAGTTTTGAAGCCAGGAAAACAAATTTTATTCAAGCTATAGGATTTCATATATGCTTGGTAGCACCGTGAGTCCAGATAGAGTAATTCTATTACATGCTGCTTTCTGATATGAATTCTTTTTGTTTGTACAGCATTATATATATATTTTTTACTTATTCTAAATTGGTGTATGATGACAAGTCCTCCATATACACTTTTTGAGTTATAAACCCACTTTAATTAAATTACGCTTCCCAGAGGGGATCTGGGTCCACTCCCTCCCAGTTAAACCACCAAAAGAGCTGGTTCTGGACCTGGACCATAATCATCACCGAGGTCCTGAGAAGCGTGTGCTGGAGGTACCAGCTGGGAGAACTGGGATCAGGCACTCCAGATGTGTGTTTTCCCCCGCGGAGACGGAGTAGATCAGCATCTGTTTTGTGATTTATTTACTTTTTTCTGTGCCGAATTTCAATATTTGTGGGAATTGGCTCGGTGGGAAACGTTCTCCGCGGCGGCGGAGGGGCCGCCCGCCCGCCCTGCGCCCCCCGCGCCCCCCCGCAGCCTGTCGGGGAAGGGCTTTGCCGGGGGGTTCCTCGGCAACGAACTTTCTTGATGCTTCCCGAAAGCATTCATGGGCGCTGACTTCCTGCCGCAGCCCTGCGCGCTCTGCGGAGGGAAAGTAGAAGAAAAGCGCGGAGAAATCCGCGTTTTTCTGGAGATTAAAAAAAAAAAAAATTATTTCCCAGGAAGGGAAAAAAAAACCCAAAACCGAACCCCCCAAAGGGTTATTTCCCAGCCCCGGGAGCGAGCCCGGCTCCTCAGTGCTGCCGCGGCCGCCGGGCCGAGTCCCTGCAGCGCCGAGCGGGGCCGGGGCCGGGGCCGGGCCCCGCCGGGACCCCCC